ATGCAAATCTTTTTTTTGGAGAAGGCAAAATCTTTCTTCCAAAAGAGATTTTGTAAAAATATCAGTAAGTTGAGAATCTGTACTAATAAACTCTAAAACAATGTCACATTTTGCTACATGATCTCGGATAAATGATGTTTAGTTTTTATATGCTTTGCTCTAGAATAATGCACAAAATTCTTTGATAAACAGATAGCACTAGTACTGTCACAAAAGATAGGAGTGGATGTAAGAGATAAATTAAAATCAAGAAGTTGGTACATAATCCATAGAACTTGTGTACAACAGCTTCCAACAACTAGGTATTCTGCCTCAGTCGTTGATAGTGCAACACAATTTTGTTTTTTGTTGTTCCAAAATACTAATGCATTTCCTAACAATTGACATGTCCCACTGGCACTCTTCATATCAATTTTGTCTCCTGCAAAATCAGCATCTGAAAAGCCTCTTAGAGAGAAATTGTTAGAGTTATCATACCATAGTCCTAGTTCAGATGTAATAATTAAATATCTAATAATTCGTTTAACAGTAGAGAGATGGAATTCTTTAGGAGCCGAATGGAATCTAGCATATTTGCATACACTGAACATGATATCTGGTCGACTGGCAGTTAAATATAGTAGAGATCCAATCATCCTTCTATACATGGTTTAATCAACCAATTTTTCATTGCTATCTTCATCTAGCACGGTAGTTGGACTCATTGGAGTACCAATAGCCTTAGCATCTTCCATCCCAAACTTTTTGATAAGCTCCTTGGTATACTTGGTTTGGCAGATGAAAATCCCTTTAGGGGACTGCTTGATTTGCAGCCCAAGGAAGAAGGTCGGTTCTCCCATCATGCTCATTTCAAATTCTCCTTTCATGGAAAGAGCAAATTCTTCACAAAGAACAGAGTTAAGGCTACCAAAAATAATATCATCTACATAAATTTTAGTAATAAGATTACCTGAACTAGATTGCTTAATGAAAAGGGTTGTATCGATATTACCTCATTTGAAACCTTGATTTAAAAGGAAAGAGCTTAACCTTTCATACCATGCTCGAGGAGCTTGTTTGAGACCGTAAAGAGCTTTAGTCAGCTTGTATACATGATTTGGAAAGGTGGCATTTTCAAAGCTAGGTGGTTGCTTCACATATACTTCTTCAGAGATATAACCATTTAGGAACACACTTTTAACATCCATTTGAAATAATTTGAATCCTTTGTGAGCAGCGAAGGCGAGTAGTAGTCGAATGGATTCAAGTCTTGCCACAGGCGCAAAGGTTTCATTATAATCGATTCCTTCCTGTTGAGAATAGCCTTGAGCCACTAGTCTTGCTTTATTTCGGACAACTTGACCTGATTCACTCAATTTGTTTCTGAAGACCTACCTAGTTCCAACAACAGAAGAGTTTTGAGGCTTTGGAATTAATTCCCATACTTTATTTCTTTCAAACTGATCTAATTCTTCTTTCATAGCACTAATCCAATGAGAATCCTTTAGAGCTCCATCCACTTTCTTGGGCTCAATTTGAGAAATGAGAGCTACATGAGATTTGTTCTTCTGAAATTTTCTTGTAGTTATTCCCTCCTATGGATCTCCTATAATTAATTTGTGATGATATCCCGGTTCAATCTTCCATTAATTTGGAGTATTTACTAGAGTCACCCTTTTTTCGGTAGTCGACTGATCTGGCTAGGGAAGGTCCTTCTGGTGGTATTTCAGCTGATTGAGCTTGTTGATTAGCTGACTCATTTTGATGATCCTTACCTACAATAACTTACTTAGGAGCACAGGAAATTTCCTCTTCTTCAGGAATATGTTCATTCCTTGGACGAAGGTTAGTATCAACAATAATAACATAAATATATTCTTCAATACATAAGATTCTCTTATTATAAACTTTGTAAGCTCTACTTGAAGGAGAGTAACCAAGAAATATACCTTCATCACTTTTTGGATCAAACTTACCAAGATTATCCTTCCCATTATTATGGATGAAGCATTTGCATCCAAAGGGGTGCAAATAGCTGATATTTGGTTTCTTACCATTCCACAGTTCATAAGGAGTCTTTTTGAGAATTGGTCGAATTAGACATCTGTTGATGATGTGACATGATGCACTCACAGCCTCTGCCCAAAAATGATAAGGTAGAGAGTTTTCCACGATCATGGTTCTTGCCATATCCTGCAAGGTTCTATTTTTACGCTCTACTACTCCATTTTGCTGTGGTGATCTTGGTGAAGAGAAGTTGTGAGAGATTTCTTAATCGTTGCAGAAATTTTCAAAAGCTCTGCTTTCAAACTCTCCTCCATGATCACTTCTGATAGTAGAGATGTAGTATCCCTTTTCTCGTTGAACATTCTTACAGAAAACTTCAAAATTCTTTAGAGCATCATCTTTATGACTAAGAAACATAACCCAGGTAAATCTGGAGAAATCATCTACAATAACAAAATCATATTTCTTACCTCCTATACTAACAGTTCTAGTAGGACCAAATAACTCTATATGAAGCAATTTAAGAGGTTTAGAGGTAGAAACAATGTTTTTGACTTTGAAAGATGAGCGAGTTTGTTTTCCTAGATGACATGCATCACAAATATGATCTTTTGAAAAATCTAGTTTTGGGAGTCCAATAACAAGATCATGTTTAGACAGTTTTTGAATAGTATGCATGCTTGCATAGCCAAGTATTCTATGCCAAACCCAGGGATCTTCAATCATAGATGTAAGACAGATTTGATCCCCAAAGTTTTCTAAGTTCTTGATAGTGAAGACATTTCTGTCTCTATTACCCGAGAGAATGATATTACAAGATTTGTCTTCTATAAACCAGTCATGTTTCTTAAAACGAACCTCATAATCGTTGTCACATAGTTGACTGATGCTGAGAAGATTATATACAAGTTCATCAACTAGGTAGACTTCATCTACATCACATATCGAGCTTAGAGGAACTTTTTCAATACCAATAACATTTCCTTTGGATTTGTTACCAAAAGTAACTGTTCCTCCATCTAGCTTGGTGACTGATTTGAACAGTTGTTTGTCACCTGTCATATGTCTGGAACACACATTGTCGAGATACCATTTTCATTTTTAATTCTTCTTGCGGTGTTCCTGCAAAACAAGATTACTCATTTTTAGGTACCCAAGCCTGCTTGGGTCCTGAATGGTTAGACTGCTGAGTGTTAGTTTGATTTGCAGATTTTGGTCTCCAGACCCATCTCCTATTGTTTTTGAACATGCAATGATTTGAGGTGTTACTTCTTTTACCACAATAGGAGCAGGATGAGTTGTTGGAGTTACCAGTACTACTTTCAGCTCTAATTCTGTTCCTACAATGGTTAGTACTATGGCCGTTTTTACCACAAAAAGAACAAGCAATTTTCTTCTTGTGATGAGCAGTCTGATTTGACTTGACTGGACTGAGACTCGTGGTCTTTTGCAAGCCATTCAATTGAATCTTGAGTTCATTTACTTCATCTTGAAGCATATCACGCTCAATTTTGCACACTTCTAGTTTGAAGGCCCGGTCTTTCTTCTCTCTCTCTTTTTCTCTCTTGGTTCTTCTGAGCTCATTTACTAGTTTTTCTATGTCTGCAAGAGAAATATCAACAAATTCTTGAAGTTCATAACAATTAGGGCATAAATGAGTACGTACCTCACTAGTTCCTTCATCTGACATTGAACGAGGTTCTCTTGAATCGTCTTCCTCATCATTGTTGTATGCCATTAGTCCAAGTTCTCCTGAATCTTCATTGTCACTTAGAGCCATGAAATATATGTTAGCAATTTCCTCATGATCAGATTCTTCCTCATCACTCCATGCTCCGAAAGCTTTCTTCTTTTGCATATTTCTGCTAAGCTTCTTCTTTAATTCCGGTCAGTCATCTTAAATGTGACCAAACTTTCCACATTCGTAACACCTTCCATCATTTTTATCAGCTTCATTGCTCATCCTTCCTTTCCTGAAGTTGAACTTCCCTCTTCTGTTATTTCTGTTTCTTCTCATCATGCTGGTTACGACTTGAGAGAGCATTGCAATGTTTTTATCTTGTTGTCCTTCTTCTTCTTCTTCTTCTTCTTCTTCTTCTTCTTCTTCAACCACAGTTGCCTTGAAAGCAACAGTTTTCTTCTTCTCTTGAATTTGTCTGTCAAGATGAGTTTTCTCAAAGGCAATTAGATCACCTCTGAGCTCGTCATAAGAAATTTTGTCCAGATCTTGACATTCCAACGCAATGACCTTTGGCTACCAAATTGTAGGTAATCTTCTGAGAATCTTTCTGACATGTTCGCCATTTTTAATAGGTCTTCCAAATGATTTGAGGTCTCCAAGTATTTTGCTGAACCTGAAAAATATTTCTTCTACTGATTCAGCATCCTTCATTTGAAATAACTCATAGTCCCGAACCAAGAGGTTTATCCTAGTCTCTTTCACTTTGTTGGTTCCTTCGTAAGTGATTTGTCCCACATTTCTTTTGCACTTTCGCAACTTGATATCTTTTTATATTATTCTCCCCTGATAGCATTATATAGTAGATTTTTTGCTTTTTCATTAACAGTGATGACAACAACTTGTTCATCAGTGTAATCATCCAAGTCAAGATGATCAGTAGATCATCACTTGACCGTTTGCATCTTTCTTGGGAGGAATTGGAAGATTTTCCTTTTTGATCACACACCATACTTTGATGTCATATGACATAGTATATATTTCCAAGCGAACTTTTCAGTGAGAGAAATGTTGATCGTTGAAGTAAGGAGGTCGAACCTGAGAGGTTCCTTCTTGAAAAAGAGCACCAACAACAGTGTTGGATCCCATGATCTTTTCCTCACTAGCGATTAAGCAAGATTGTGAGCCTTGCTCTGATACCAATTGAACGTACAAAGGGGGGGGGGGGAATTGTTGACTATTTAAAAATTAGTCAACTAACACAAGTATTAGTTGACTGATCACAATGCAGAATGAAAGTAAGCAGTAAAGAAGAGTAAATAACACACAACAATTTATACTGGTTCGGTACCGTTGTGGTACTTACATCCTATTTCCCTTGGGTCACAAGGGTTCCCTTAAGATCTTTGAAAATGTTACAACACAGATGGTTTTAACGCGTTCACCACCAACGAACAGTATCACACCTTGAGTTCTGAGTAATTGACACAATTCTCTTTTGTGTTCTAGATCTTTCTATCTTTTGAGACACTGATAACTTACGTTGTTTGAACTAAAAAGTAGACGGACTTAGAATACAATGTATGTAGTTGCGCAAGTCCTCTTCTTGAAAGTATCAGCCTTCTTATAGGAGAGAAAAGAGTCGTTGAGTCTTCAGCGAAATCAGAGGCACGAGATCTTTGCAAAAGGGTTTTGACCCAAGGGGTGCCTCTTCGAATCCTGCTCTTTGAAGAGTCCAGATTCGATTGTGACTTTCCTTCTCAGCGCTTGAATTAAGGAGCCATTCACCCCCGGAGTGAGCTTAATTCTAGAAACAGAATAATTGCTGGCGAGATTGGCAATCTGAGTTCCTTTGATTGAGGACGAATAAATTTACTTCTCTTGATTGACCATTGATGTAACAACAACATCTTGCTGAGGATCTCCATTCTTTCCTTTTTATCATTCCTGCAAATATAACATAGGATAATATTGTCATCATTGAAACTTAAACTTAAACCTATCATCTCTCACACAGGATAAATAGAAGCAAAGGTTAGTCCGGTGCACAAGACATTTTATATTCACGTAGGGTACGGAAAAAGGTCGCACTTCAAGAAGTGTGATTTATACAAGTTACAGACCTACACTAATGCCATCATTATTGGTTGTTTCTACGGCTCAAACCCGCAACCTATAAATCACGCAGAGACCAATAACAGCTGATCTAAGCTCCCCTTCTACGTACATAAATAGAAAAAATCTAGAGACCTCACTTTTTACATATGTTGAACAAGAACCATATCCATGTGTTATATTTGTACTTAGGAAATGTACGTACCCGATTGAAGACCATAAAACCAAGGTCAAGATCAACGCCATCAACAGTAACAGTCTTGGCATGGCCGCCGAGATAATTTTCCTTCTCATAAACCACAACTTTGACACCAGCTTTTGCCAATTCATATGCAGAAACAAGTCCACTTATTCCTGCCCCAACTACTGCTACTTTCATGTTTTTCCCTACTTCTGCAAAAATAGTTTAGATGAAATATAGAACTGTAAACCGTAGAATGCATAGCCATATAATTAATAAGAGAGTAAACTGATAACCCATACCTTAATGATAATGGAGACAAATACATGGAATTAAAGGAATGGTATTCTCCTTTATTTGTGGAAAATAAAATATTTAGCAGACTCAACCAATATTGTCACAGTACTGAACTCTCCCTAACTTCTATTCACTGCTGCTATGCAAAAGCAAAGGCGAAGGCTAGTGAGGATTGGTTGGCTCACTACAAAAAAGACACCAAACTAAAAACCAAGTGGAACTAAGGAAACAAAGAGTGGGCGCTATTCTGTCTTACTACTTAGCCTGTGATATAGTATATACTCCATCCCTTTTGAATCTATTTGATTGGACACAAAGTTTAAGAAAATATAAAAGACTTTTGAACTAGTGGAGTAAAACAAGGCACATATATTTTGTGTGACTATAAATCTTTTCATAAAGGTAAATTGTTTGCAAATAAGAAAAGAGATCATTCTTTTTGGCACGGACTAAAAAGGAAATAACTTCAGATAAATTGAAACGGACGGAGTATTAAGATAAGGTCATGGGTCTTTTGTTTACAGACCCATCCAATATATATTTTTTTCCTTACTAAAATAAACACTGGTATCCTATTCCTGCATTTAGTACTAAGATGAGGCAGATTCAAAATTTTAAACTTTGTGAATTCGAAATTGCAAAATTTTACTATATTCTATTTGATTTACTTGATTTGAAATCTGTTATTTATACTTATATAGTAATTGTTTTTAATACATGCATGGTTTGGACTAAAGTTATGAATCCATAACTTTAATATATACTAAGGGGTCATTTGTTTGGTTACTAATCATCGGACAAGTTATTCCAAGATTAAAAATAGTACCTGGATAACTTATACATACCAGATGGTGGAATAGTAATACCAGAATAAGTTACTCAGGATAAAGCAGTAAAATTAAAAATCTCAGGATTAAGTACATTTGGAAGACATTGTATTTGTTTCTCTCTTCGTTTCAGAATTATTCCCTTCGTCGCCATTTGAATTTTGAAAGTCAAACAAGTTTTATTTTGACCGTTATTTTTTCATATGCCTTTTAAATATTTTAAATTGTTAATTATTATAATTTAAAAGTACTTTTTACATAATTTTCAAATATGTAAATTTTATTATAAGAAATTTAAAGATTCTATATCCGAATTCACGGTCAAAATAAGTTAGACTTTCGAAATTCGACAGTGCCACGCAAATTAGGACAAAGGGAATCTATGCTAAGCATGAAAAAAATTAATCTCACGTTTGAGAAATTAAACATAAGACAAAATATTACAATTTATTTCATATTTCTTACATTGTAATTTGATAATTGAAAAATATCTTCTCATCGTCATGTCACAACAACTGTGAGTTGCGTTGTGTCTCTCAGTTCGTAAATAACAGGGGTGGCCAAAGCGCATGTAGGGCCTAAGGCCAAAGTTTAATATAGGGCCTAAGTATTTATAAGAACGTTATAATATATATTTTTATTTAAAATTTATTCTTCTAGCTTTTTGAGATGCAAATTTGTTAATAAATTTTTTTAATCAATTTTTTTCTAATAATTCCTTTTCAATTGATAATATATCCAAGTCATTTAATCTTTCTTGAGACATTGTTGATCTTAGGTAAGATTTTATCAATTTTGATTTTGGAAACTTCTTTCTGGTGAAGCAATTGTTATAGGAACTGTTAACATGTGATGACCCAAAATGTCATCTTTAATTTAAAAATTCATTTCTGTGCTCTATGACCTCGAATTGCATTATTCTTCATTCCTCAATTTGCGTGTGTAGTCCGTATAAATTTCCGGAAAGTTTTTATGTGAAAACTGGATTAAAATGTGAAATAGAGCTTTAAAACTCAATTGAGTTGACTTTGGTCAATATTTTGAGCAAACGAAATCGGATCAGTATTTTGAGCAAACGGAATCGAATTATATTTCATAAATCCATGCTTATATTCATCGTTTATTTTGAATTTAGATGGAAGAAAATTGAATTTTGTATAAAATCTTTCAAAAATATAAAATGAAGATCTGAAGGTCAATCCGATGTCGGAATTCGATAAGTTTTTGTATGGTTGAACTTGAATCGGAACGGGGTGTTCGAATTTCGTGACTTTTTTCCACTTGCAGAGTTTGCCTGTAATAACAGCTACCGGTCGAGCATTCAGATGGCTTCATATGAAGTATTATACAGGAGGCGATGTCGTTCGCCCGTTGGCTGGTTTGAATCGGGAGAGGATCGGTTGTTGGGTACCGATTTGGTACATGATGCCTTGGATAAGGTCAGGATCGACTTCGCATAGCTCAGTCTAGGCAAAAGAGTTATGCCGACCGTAAAGTTCATGATATTGTATTCATGGTTGAAGAAAGAGTATTGCTCCGGGTTTCACCTATGAAAGGTGTAATGAGATTTGGAAAGAAGGGAAAATTGAGCCCTAGGTATATTGGACTCTTTGAAATTCTAGAAAGGGTGGGTGAAGTAGCCTACAGGCTTGCACTACCACCTAGTTTATCAGTAGTTCATCCGATGTTTCATGTATACATGCTCCAAAAATATCATGGTGATCCGTCCCATGTGTTAGATTTCAGCTCAGTTCAATTAGACAAGGATTTGACTTATGAAGAGGAGCCGGTAGCTATTCTAGCCCGGCAGGTCCGACAATTGAGATCTAAGAGTTATCCTTTTGTTCGAGTGCAATGGAGAGGTCAACCGGTAGAAGCATCTACCTGGGAGTCCGAGTCGGACATGTGAAGTAGATATCCACATCTTTTCCCCAGCTCAGGTACTTTTCTAATTCCGTTCGAGGATGAATGTTTGTTTTAGAGGTAGAGAATGTTATAATCCAAAATGTCATCTTTAATTTAAACATTCATTTCTGTGTTCTATGACCTCGAATTGCATTATTCTTCATTCCTCGATTTGCGTGTGTAGTCCGTATAAATTTTCGAAAAGTTTTTATGTGAAAACTTGATTAAAATGTGAAATAGAGCTTTAAAACTCAATTGAGTTGACTTTGGTCAACATTTTGAGCAAACGGAATCGGATCAGTATTTTGACGATTTCGGTAGGTCTGTATAGTGATTTGGGACTTGCGCATATTCCCGGAATTGGATTCGGAAGTTTCTAGCTCAAATTATCACCATTTAACGGAAACTAGAAATCTAAAGACTAAAGATTTTAAAAGTTTGACCGCGGAGTTGACTTTATTGATATCAGACTCGGATTGAGATTCCAAAAATTTGAATAGCTATGTTATGTCATTTATGACTTGTGTGCCAAATTTGAATTCATTACGGATTCATTTAACATGTTTCAACACGAGTTTTGTAAATTAAAATGTTTGAAATTCATAAGTCCGAATCGAAGTGTAAATTGTGATTTCGACGTTATTTGACGTGATTTGAGAACCCGAGTAAGTTCGTATTATGTTACGGGACTTATTGGAATATTTGAACGAGGTCCCGAGTGGCTCGGGTGAGTTTCGGACGTGTTTCAAACCATTTTGGTTAAAACTTGCAGTTATGGTTCTGGTATTTCGAACAAGTCCGCATATGCGAAAATCTATCCGCAGATGCGAAAATGTTGGACATAACACATAAAAATTGGGTGTTAGCTATTTTTACTCATTTTTGAGTTTTGAGTCTCGGATTTGAGCGATTCCAAAGGGTTTTTCACGACTTCGACTTGGGTAAGTGTTCTATACCCGAAAGTGATTATATTTCATAAATACATGCTTATATTCATCGTTTATTTTGGATTTAGATGGAAGAAAATTGAATTTTTTATAAAATCTTTCAAAAATATAAAATGAAGATATGAAGGTCAATCCGATGTCGGAATTCGATAATTTTTGTATGGTTGAACTTGTATCGGAACGAGCTATTCGAATTTTGTGAGTTTTTTTTGGTATTCAAGACGTGAGTCCCACTGTCGATTTTTAAAATAAATTTCGAATTTTAATCTTGAAAATTAGTAATTTATTATGGAATTAATTCCTACGAGTCGTGTTGAGTATATTGAATTGTTTGTGACTAGATTTAAAGCTTTCGGACTCTAATTTGCGAGGCAAAGGTTTATTGAAATCTTTAATTTGGTTACAAAGCGCGGTATGTGTCGTGGTTAACGTTGTAGAACCCTTAAATTATTTGTTAAGTGAATTTCAAGTGTAATGATGTATAGGCGAGGTGACGAGTGCCTATACGTCATCAAATTGATTGTTTGCATAACTGTCTGAAAATCATAAATTATTTTAAATCATGAATTAATTATTACATTAATTATTTCTCTCAAATTCCTTGTTCAATATTATGTCTTAAATCCATGCTATAATTGCTACATGCTTATTTGAATTATGTGTCGTAATTGCTACTTGACATTTAGCATATTATATATGAAATTACCTATTTTCTCCCTGATTTTCATAATTAATTGCTACTTGTCATTACCTGTTTCCTAAATAAATCATAATAATTGTATGCTTTGTTGCCTAATAATTTCTTATTAAATATGGTATTTATTGGAGTATTTTTACATTTAAGAATTGTTTAATTATATTGTTGGAGCGGGTTACACGTCACAGCGGATTTATTTTTTAAGTTTATATTATTGGAGCGGGTTGCACGATGAGGTATATTGTGCAAGGAGACGTCGAGGTATATCTGCCAGCGTCCGCAGACTCCAGAATCCCCTTCTATTATTGTTATGTTGCTTCCTTATTTTTTTAGACTCTGTTATATATCGACATTGAGAATAAATTCTTAGAAACTTGTGACTTATTTCTACCGGGTTTGGGGAGTTAAAATTATTTGAATTGTAGGTTATTTATTTCAGATATTTATTATTATTCCGCATTGATAGGCTTACCTAGTCTTAGAGACTAGGTGCCATCACGACATCCTACGGAGGAAATTTGGGGTCGTGACAACAGGTTAATGTAAGTGGCCTGCCTTAGCCTCGTCACTACTTCGTCGAGGTTAGGCTCGGCACTTACAGAGTACATGGGGTCGGTTGTACTCATACTACACTCTGCACTTCTTGTGCAGATACCAGAGTTGGTCGCAGCGACGTACAATAGATTTGCTCGGATTCAGCTATTCGCAGGAGACTTGAGGTACGACTGCATCGCGTTCGCAGTTCTAAAGTACCCTTCCACTTTATTGTAGTTGTGTATTTCTTTTAGACAACTTCATTTTCATTCAGACCTTTATTTGTATTATTCTAGTAGCTCGTGCACT